AGGGTGCCCCTAGGGTTTGCAGGGCTCTAGGCAAATATTCTTTGCAGGGCCCTTGTCCTCATAAGCAATGTAATTTTAAAATGTTTACAAAATTCTTGGGCTAATGTGAGGTATAGGAATTTATCGATGAAGATTTAGTATAATGAGTAGAAAAGAAGTACTTATGTATTTGTTGATTGTCCAATAAATGCAAACCAAGATTCTTCACAGTGTCCAGGGGCCATCTTGCTGTGTTCTTTATTGTCAAATGTGCCGTCCCTGGCTAATTTCTCCCATTGTTAAGACAAAAGCAGCAAAACTGTTATTACTTGCAATGCTCTGGCTCTTCGGAACCTATCTGTATTGAAACAGTATAGATTTTCTGGCCTCTGCTTGTCCCTAATACCACTTATTTCATGCTGTTTACAACATTACTCATGTTGCTACACCATCCCTCTTGCCCACAGTGAACACTGGCTTCCAATGACTTTCTCAAAGGTCGTTACTGTGCGTTGTTGACCGTAGCCACAAATGCTCGTCTTACTGGAAGTATGCAGGAAAATGTGAACGATCATTTGTTTTCGGACGGTGTTAAATTTACCATTTGGAATTTTATAGCATAAACGTAGAACAACACATCTTTCAACCATGTCTTCTGTCGAACTTTTAGGCTGCAGTTACTGCATTTCTAGATGTGGTTTCTTTCAGTGTTGACTGCACCCTGACAAAGATTTGAGCTTTAGTCAGGCTCCAGAGCCTTCTCTTAGGCCCATCTGTGAACTTCCTTGTAAAATCCTGTTTTAGCAAGAACTTTGCTAAGTCAGTTTAACCAGAATCCCTCACCCTCGACGTCTGATCAGGTTCCTCATCCTTCACCATCTCCCAGTGATGACTGAGCACCCTGGCCTGTCTTTAGTAAAGAATCCTGTTAAGTCAGTTTAGCCAGAATCACCCTTACCGTGAGGTTTCCTCGTAGTAATTTTCCATCCACTGGCCCCCACCTGCTCCTTGGCTATAAATTCCCACTTGCCCATGCTGGAGTCCCAGTTGAGCCCCACATCTCTCTCCCACAGCAAAATCCCATTGCAGCGGTCCCTATACTTATCATGATGGTCCTGAATAAAGTCCACCTTACCATCTTTAACAAGTGTCATTAAATGTTTTGTTTCCACAACCCCTGCCTACCACGTACTGTCACCAGTGGGGAGGCTAGGTGAGGGCCCAGGAGCAGAGTGAGAAAAATGGTCCCATCCACACAACGAATGGCTGTTCCTTGTCCAGTACAACTTAAGACTGGCCTGGGAGAGCATGGCATCACCACATCAGCTGAAGGTAGAAGAGGACATCAATTGGAAGGGCCAGTCGTGGAGCAGTGGTCTTGAAGGCCTTCAGAGGAGAAAGGATCGGTCACACCCAGAGGGCTGCCTGACATGTGGCCCAGAGCCTGCAGGAGGCTGGGGAGACCTTGCTGGGTGCACGCAGCAGGGGGGTCACAGGGTTATGGATGCCTGCCATCACTCCGCCACACTTGGATGCTCTTGACCAGAGTCAGTGCTGCAGGTAGAATACTGACAAAAGAGATCTGAGGCTCAAGTCCAAGGGTTAGGTGTGGACTGACTGTCAGTGCCCAGAGCTCTGAACTTGTCCTGTGTCTGATATGAGAGTCACCCCAAATCAACATGTCAGCACCATTTTGGCAACCCATTATTGTTCTGGCCAGTGAAAATGATTGGCTCACCATGTTGCCTTCGTGGAACTGGGGCTGGCCATTGAGTCCTGGGACTACCCTGTAGGCATGAGTCTTACTTCCTAGAGCCATCTGGTTGACCCCACACAAGGAGCTCTCCCTGAAGGGGAGAAACAGGAACTGGGGCCCACCGTCAGCCTTGGCTGGTCCCAGGTATTGGATGGTGATTTACAAAACTGTGAGGTTGTTGCTTCTTGCAAATGGAGCCAATACGGGACTAGTCTCAGGTTGGGGCACCTTGCCCAGATGGCACTGCTGATCCTGGCTAGTCCCAGGTACCTGAGGGAGACTTAGAAATAAAATTTGAGGAATTCACTCTGAAGCAAGGGTGGATGAACTTTTTTTGTGCAGAATGGACCAGACAGTAAATACTTTAGGCTTTGCAGGCTATATGGTCTCTTTCACAGCTACTCAATTCTGCCATTGTAGAGGGAAAGCAGCCAGATAATATGTAAACAAATGGGCATAGCTGCATCCTAATAAAACTTTATTTACAGAAACAGGCAGTGAACTGGATTTGGCTTACTGGCCACAGTTTACCAACCACTGCACGTGGCAGAGGGCCCAGGGCAGAGGCTTCACTTGCCTGGGTCTAATGGTGGTAATGGTGGGGCCATAGGATCAAATGATAGGTGCACCTGTGATTCTGGCAGATACGGCCAGATCTCCCTCTACAGAGCTTTTATTATTTTATCATAGCAAACATATCATGGACCACCAGCAATTTTGTGTGTTTTCCTACAGCCTTGCCAAGAGAATGCTTTATCTGATTTTGAATTTCTTTCAGTTTAATAGGTTAAAAATGATATCTCAGTGTGATTTTAATTAGCATTTCTTTTAGTTTGAGTGACATTGGGCACCTATTTGGATTTTTTAATGAACCATCTGTCTTTGGCTATTTTACTATTGGGTTGTTGGTCTTTTTCTTCCTGATTTATAGAAGTTCTTTATATATTAAGGAGATGAGCCCTTAATGTATATGCTGTAGTTGTTGGATAGTATAGTGGTCTATGTGTCAATTAGGTCAAAGCAGTTGACAGTGTTGTTGAAATGTTTGAGATACCTAGCAGTCATTCAAGTGGAGTTTTCCAGCAGGCATTTGGGACTCAGGTGAGAGTCTGAGAGGACTGGAGAAATAAATTTGGGAATAATCAGTATAGGTGGCATTTAAAGCCATGAGACGGGTGAGGTCGCCTACGGAGAAAAAGTAGATAGAGAAGCCGTAATAAAAACTGAGCTGTCGGGCATTCCAAAATTTAGAGATTGAGAAGAGGAGGAACAACCAGCAAGACAGAGAAGGGGTTTCCAGGGATGTAGAAAAGAAAGCAAAAGGCAGACTTTTGGGGTAGCCAAGTGAAAAAAGGAGGAAGGAGACTGCCAAATACTTTTAAAGACCTAATAAGATGGGCATTCTTACTGAGAACTGATCACTGGATTTGGTGACATGGAGACTGCTGGTGACCTTGACAAGTATACTTCAGTGGAGTGGTGGGGACAAAAGCCTGGTCTCCCAGAGACTGAAGGAAGGGATTATAGAAGTATAGTTGCCTGGACAGTTGAGGGTTGACTTGACGTCTGAGGTCATAAATTTAAAGATCTGTTCAAGCACTCATGTGTTTTCCATGAGCCATATTTAGCTGCTCAAGAGCAGGCAAAGCATAGGCAAGAGCTGTGTTTAACTGGAGCTGTCCAGTAAGTATGAAGGAGGCAGTTGAGGATGTATGGATTGATGGACCCAGGAATCTAAGCTGAAAAATGAGGAGAGTCCTTAACAGTGAAAAAGTGGTAAAGCAATGGATTGGAGGTCGAGGTATGGTCAAAGCCCAATTTATTATACTCATAAATACAACATATATACATAGATCACCCTAGTCTCCTCTGGGTGAGTTCCACACAGGCTCCATTTTCATCTAGTTCATCAAGAAGTAGAACAAGACTGGGTGAATATTCATTAAATTTTATTCTTATTTGAGTTTACAACAATTCAAAGATGGCAGATGCCCATTATAAACGGGTATACTATCCCATAGATACATTATAAGGCGAGGAAGCCCAATTACTAAAAGACTTTTTAAAATGTACTTCATTTGGCTACATCATTGATAGTCTATGATGTGGAATTTTTGATGTCTCCTGGAAGATACATTACCATAAGTTTCCATTTTATCAGGTTCTAAGAAACTTTATTTTTTAAAGAAGAAAATGGTTAGTGGGCAAGAATGAAAAATATGTTTTAAAAAAGATTATCTGTGTATAAATAAAGTGTCTGATAAATTAGTGAAAGGAAGAAGTTTGGCGAGCAGTTTTTATGTTGTATAAAAATAAATACTGTGAATTTACATTATATAAGACTGATAATAAATGACTTTTGTGGGTAAATAAAAGAAGTCATCTTATCAATTGCATACTTATGTAAAGGCTTTCAAAAAAACCATAAAAATTTTTTAAAGGAATCTACATCCCTTTTATAAATTAATTCAGGTAATCAGTGACTGACTTTTCCATGTCTTTCTTTTTTCCCTATTACATGCCTTTTAGACATTTTGTTGCTGTAACCAAGACTGGGTAGCAAAAGAGAAAGGAGACAGAAGTCCAATCAGCCATCCTGGTTATTTATCAGCATCCATGGAAAATGGCTAGATCTTGGAAGGGGGATGGCAATTATATGTTCTATGAAATAAGGCATTGCTGTTCTTTATTCTAAAGTTTCCATTCATTTGTGTTTTCCTTGGCCTTAAGAACATGATTAATTTAGCCTTGGCTGTACTTACCATCAAGATATATTAAATGGAGCTTTCCCTGTCTGAAATCTAAAAGATGTATCAATACTCTATTGGACTTTAGAAAATCCTGTTTCTCCGGTTGATTTCCTCTCACTTAGTTAGGTACTCTTGGTATACTTGGAGGGTCATAGAAGGAGTACTGGCTTTGGAGGTCGGGCACCTGGACTTTAGTCACAATTTGGTCACTTCGCAGCTGTGCAACTTTAAAAATGTAACTTCTCTGAGTTTCAGTTTCTTCTGCTGTAACATAGAGATAGGAATATCTACCTGACCTGTTGCACAGGTACTGTTGTGAGTACTAAACAATAGAGTGTATTTGAATGTGCTTTGGAACAGGTAATGCACTAGACTAAAGCTGTTTGTAAATGCTTTAAAAATGTTATGTTTTTATGTTAAAAAAATCAAAATAGAAATCACTGGGAAATATAAATGCTTATGAATTATACATCCCAAATGTAATAAGTAATTTACAAATGCTTTACAATAAAATCAAAGAAATTATTTATGGATTTTTTTAAATAAAAAATCTTTGCAACTAAATATTCATCAACTTAATTATTCTTTCTTTTATAAGAATGTTTACTATGTGACATTATAACTCTCCAAAGGAGAAATTCTATAATTAGTTCAGTTCTCTGCCTTAAAAGCTTCATTATAAGGCAGAAGAATGGAATAATTAAAGTTTTAAAATAAGCAAAAATATATAATTCTAAACCACAGTCCCCTTATTTTAAAGAGCTTACTAGGAACACTTCCCCCAATATATTTACAAACTTCTATCTATATAGTGTTAACACTAACACAACTTAAACCATGATGATCAAACTTAATGTGCAATTTTTCTTCCCTTAGTTAAATTATTAAAATCTGACAGTCTTGAGAGATTCTACCGCACTTTTTTTAATGAACTATACGTGATATAAAAATGCTTACCTATTGAATAACTAAACTGTTAGTCAAGTGTTTGGAATATAGATCAGAGTTTTAGAAAAATATTTGAGAAACAGAGCAGGGTATATGATAGAGTCCCATATAGAAATAAGCCTATGCAAACAGATGATATGTATAGGCATGAGCAATAATTGAAGTAATCCACCAACTTCTCTTTTAAAATGGTAAGCCTAAAAGTTTCAATAGACTTCTTTAGAAGAGCAAATGAGTTACTTGCTCATTTTAAATCTTATAATATCCTGGTTATATTAAATGGTACAGTTTTTTTTTATAAGAAGAAACTATTAATTACAATATAGGTAACAAATACCAAATTCTGGGCAGTAGCAAAATTTTTGGACCAAATGACAAAATCGTATCAATAAAATGTGTTTAAGAATAACTATATAATGCTAATATTCCAATAGCACTATGATCTTTCCTATCAACAATCCAAGATTCAGTTCTCCATTAAAAGCTTCCCTCTCTGTCTGTCTTTCTAACACACACACACACACACACACACACACACACACACACAGACACACACAGACACAGACAATTTCTCACACCATCTTATCTCTACAAATGTAGCTCAGGTTATCTTCTGTTTTTGACTATTAAGCCTTCTGAAAAAGATCGGCATTCTTTCAACAAATCAATGATCAAAAATGACCCATTGCTTCCATTAAAGATCTTTCAAAAAGTCTTTCTGTGTTTAAAGGGTAGCCTGCCAAGAACTTGCAGAGTTGAAATTAAATTAGCATGGGCACAGGGAAAAGCAGGTAAAAGTGAGTTTATCTTATGCTCAGCAGAACGTATTTAGGTCAGGTTAGGAGCAAGTGATTGGTAAATTTATCCTCAGCTAGCAGAGAGGTGGGCATAGTTAAAAGCTTGGTTGGGCCCCTTTCATTTTATAGTATGCTTTGCAGTACAACATCTGTGAGACAAGAAAGGCTAAGCTAGAACACTGTTTCCTCTAAGCCTGGCATTATAAGTTAAACAATAATAAAGTACATTTCTGCTACATCTGTGGTTTTAAAATTATTCATTGTAAACATCCTATATTCTTTCCTATTTACTTAATTTCAGAGCTTGAGCTTGTATCTATGTCTATGTCAAATTATTATTTATTCTATGAAAAGCAGCACAAATACTGTTCATTCTGGTTTCAACACCAATTCCTTAAAAAAAAGTTAAGGCCATTTAATTGAATCAAGGCCAACTGAAGATTATTACCCTGGCAGAAGTCAAACTACTGATTTAAGATTTTTGAAAAAGAGTCATAAGTGGTTGTCTTGTGTTTTCCTCCTTGGCAACTTGAGGGCAGTTTGAAAGATTTATTAGTCTCCAACATCTCCATCTCGATCTCCAATAAGCCAAAGAAAATGAAAACTTAAGGCTAACAAAGCTGTCCCGAGCAGATCACCCAGTGCCGTTAGATAGGGGATGGAGAAACTATCCGGGTCCTTTCCTTTCCTCCAGAAGTGATGGACCATCCAGTCAGCAATCCACAGCAAGGTAAATACCTAGAAGAGAACACCAGGGGTTACTCCTGTCGCCTGGACATTCCTAGTCCGGTACACATGGCCACAAGCCTAAACCACTCCTTTCTGAAAGGAACGGCATGTGTCTCAGCCAAGAACTATGCTTGAAAAGAAGAACTAGTTAATTGACAGAAACATTTTCTTTCCACAAGAAAAAATTCCATGTATCTCTGCAATAAAATTTTCTTCAACTTTCCACATATATCTTCCCATTTTCTTCTACCCTCCCAATAAACACAATAATCCTCATATTCAATAGTGTTGTACAGCTGCCAAACCACTGTTAATGTTTCAACGTCTTTCTATATGATAAACCTATGAAGGAGGAAGAAGATATATGAAGAAGGAAATAAAAATTAAAATAAGGAATTATCTAACATTCTCCTATTGCAGGTATATCAAATGAAATAAAGATGGAGAACTGACCATTCATTTATTAATTATAAGGCCATTGGTGGCTTGTCAAGGCAAATTTCAGTGCAATGGCAAGAACGATAACCAGAAGGTAAGTGTATTGAGGAATGACTTGTCTATATAGATATAGATATAGACATAGATAGAGTCAAAATATTTTAAAGGGCCATTCAAATACTAAGGTGATATGTATAAGTATTTTCTAGGATATCAGGAATATGAAGACCTTTGTGCTGCTTTGAATTTGGGGATCAGATATATATGTTTTTTCCTCTGATCCATTTAGAGTAGGAGGATTCTCTAATTTTCAAACTCCTAAAGCATCTTTTAAAAGGGATTTGCGATTAGAGAGGTTAATGTTCACTGGTTTTGGACAAGTTGGTAAGTACAGTATAGTCGTTAAGGGCACTTCCCTCTCATTTACTAGGTGACTGTAGGCAAGTTACTTAACCTCTCTGACCCTATTTCTCTGAATGAACATTAGAGATAGTAAAGGCACCTACCCTCATGAGAATGTTGTGAGGATTAAATAATAGACTAAATAATTCAGTGCCTGGCACACAATAAACCTTCAACAGATGTCTGCTATTAGTAGATTTAACAGTGTCATTGCTATCATTATTTGTGGCCTCTCAGATATTGGGGACACTTGGTATATGCAGGAGGAAGCCCCTCCTAGGTCCAGAGTCTATGCCAAGGGTCTGTTACCTTTCACTATTCTGACAAGCAGGCTGTGGAGGTGAGGAGTCTGCCTTGGGTTCCAAAGTTCTGCTATAACTGGAAGTTATAAGACCTGGATTTGATTTCCAGTTCTGCCACTTATCAGGTATACGACTTTGGGTAAGTTTCTTACTATCCTGAGCCTCAATTTCCTCATTTGAAGGAAACAAACCCAGAGGGCTTTTTTGCCTTACCTACTTTGAGATAGTTAATAAGAGCCTCGGTTTAGGGGGATGAAGAGAAAGGCAGAAAGGCAGCACGATCTCAGGATACATTAATAAGGGCATAAGGCACAGACCGAGAGAGAGAGTCAGCCCGTGGGACCTGGAATGGGTCAGGCCATGTCTAGGCAGTATGTTAGGAACCCTGTGTCTTCAGTGCTAGCAAAGGGACCAGTTTACAGAGCAGACACTCGATATCTGACTGGGTGCATGAGAATCAGCTGGAGGCGATGTCATCCGAGAGACTCCTGTGAGAACAAGAACTGTTTGTCCTGGCCAGAGAGGGAGGATGTCAACTTAAGAAGGTGATTGTGTCAGGAGACACCAGTTTATAATACATAACTTCAGAGGGTAGAGTTTTAGGCTAAAGGATAAAAGTTACCAAAAGACAGAACTTTTTTAAAAAACAATTTGGGCTGTCTATAAATGGAGTTTACATAATAAACTCTATATTACTGGAGTATATGGAAGTTCAATAAAGAAGTTTGCCGATTGAGTAATGTGTGCAGGAGGAAACAATAGTTTTAAAAAGAATGAGGATAGGTAATTTCTCTGGGATTGGCAGGAAATATACATAAATAAATCTATGTTATATATGTATTATAATATATATTTATATATTAACAATATATTAACAATATATTAATATAAATAAATTTATATAATGCACTTCATACATACATGATATATATAACTTACTAATTATAGCATCTGTACTCAACAGGAGATTCATCTAGAGCAGGGGTTGGCAAAGTACAGCCCGTGGGCCAAATTCAACCTGCTGCCTGTTTTCTGTACATAAAATTTTACTGGAACACAACTCTACCCATTTGTTTACTTACTGTCTATTCAGTCTATTATTTAATCCTCACAACATTCTCATGAAGTAGGTACTATTATTATCCCTAATGTTTATTTGGAGAAATTGAGTCCGAGAGGTTAAGGTACCTGTTTTGGTGCTATCATGACAGGACTGTGTATAGTCCACAAAACCTGAGATATTTACTATCTGGCCTTTTATGGAAAAAGGTGTGCTGACCCCTACTCAGGAGACAAATGCTTACTCATATAGAAAGAAATAAAATGGACTCCTTACCTCATACCCCAACACAAATTCCAGGTAAAGACTAAAGGATAAAAAATAATACTTAAGTTTTATAAGAGAATGTAAGAGAATGTCTTTATGACCTTGATGTAGGGAATGATTTCATAAATAAAATGCATAATATTTTAAAAGAACAGTTTATAAACTAGATTAAATTAAAGATTCCTGTGGTTCAATAGATACCATAAAGTTAAAAATCATGCCCTAGGCTTGGAAAAAAATCTCTGCATTGCATACAACTGACAAAGAATTAGATTCAGAATATTTAGAGAGAATATCCAGAGAACTCCTACAGTTCATAAGAAAAAGAAATAATCCAATAGAATAGAAAAGGAAACCTAAAGTTCCAATAAACATATGAAAAGATGCTCAACCTCACTAACAATAGGGGAATGCAAATTAAAACCACATTAAACTCCATTTCATACCTATCTGACTGGCAAAAATCAACTTTTAAATGACAATAATAGCAAACATTGTTTTTGAAATGGCCACGCAGTGTTCAAAGAGGTTCACATGTATGAACTGATTTAATTCTTACACATCTTTGTAATATGCTATGGATTATTACTATCCCTTTTTGATCTATGAAGAAACTAAGACGTATGTAGAGCATATAAGAAACATGCCCAAGATCACACAGCTCGTAGGTGGAGTCAGGCTCAAACTCATATAGTCTAACACTAAAGCCCAAGTTCTTCTCCATCCATACGGGACATTGTTTTGGTAAAAAGAACTCTATACTGGCAACAGGAGTATAAGCTGGCACAACTACTCTGGAGACCAATTTGGCAATAGGTATTAAATCTGAGATGTGCATCTTCTTAATTCAACAATTCCACATGAACCATGATTTTTTTTCTTCTATAACACAGATAAAAGGATAAAACTGTTCATGGCTAAAGGAGACTGGCCTAGGGGCTCTACGGACCCCAGGTCCCACGTGGCTATCCCAAGGACTGAGAGGACTAACATCTTGGTCTACTTGTGGAAGCTCTGCAGGGAAACTCATACATGCATACTATGAGAGATGTGCAAGAATATTCTTTGCACCATTGTTGTAAAAGTCAAAAATTGGAAATAACCTAAAATGTCTATTGATAGAAGAATGGCTACATTAACTCTTAGGTCATACATCGAACACTATATAAGCTAAAATGAATGAAAAAGCTATAAGGATCAATATGAATATGACTCAAAAGTATAAGGTTGAATGAAAAAAGCAGTAGAAGACTATGTAAAGTATATGATTCTAATAAGGTTTATAAATATGAAAAACAATACGTTATTTATAGATTCATACATTTTGTCGCAATAGTAAAACATGCATGGCAATGATGATACACACCAATTTAGAACGCTGATAACTGCTAGGGAGGGAATGAAATGGGACCAGGAAGGGATACACAGGAGGCACCAACCATATATATGATGCATTTTTACTGATCATTTTGAAATAGTTGCTTAAATAATTTAAGAGTTGGTAAAGCTGGGCAGTAAATACATGGTTATCTTATTTCCTATAACTTCCTATACATTTGTATTTTGTAATAAAAAAAAAATGTAAGCAGCGGGGGCAGTGGTAACTCTCTGACCAGGGCTACCCAAGCTATGACTTAGAATACCTGCCCGGAGGGATACCCGAGAAAGGAAGTCAGTATACCCTGTAGGATCCATGAAAGGTTTGGACTTGTAAGTACCAAGCGGTGCTGAGGATAACACCAAAGGATTATTTGAATATCTGTGCATGGAGTGAGCAATGTCTACATTCTTTCATCATTCTTGCCACTGTCCTCCCCAGGTAGGAAAATAGAGGGATGTTTCCTGGCGAAACTGAATGGGAAAGACTCAGGACTCAAGGATACTAGGAACTGTGAGGTATTAGCTGAGAATGAGGAAGAATAGGAAGTCGGCATAGTTTACAGTGGGATTCCCTTAGACCTTTATTTTGTTTCAAGAATAGTAACAGGCAGGAGTATAACCCCCCAGAGAGGAGATTAGATGATGAATTTGGAGGGCTCCCAGTTAAATGAGTCTTTCTCCCACTCCAAGCTATTTAACCTCTCCACACCTCAGTCTCCTCCCTGTAAAATACAGAAAATAATCCCTATTTCATAGAGATGGTGATGTGAGCACTAACTAGTGCAGAATACTTAGAATAGCACTTGACATATAGGAAGAACATAAATATTTACTATGATTAAAAAAAATTACGGGTCATATATGAAGAGACAAGAATTTGACTTTTCCATCAGCAACACTGGGAGACAAGGGAGCAATGCTTTCAAAATCCTGAGAGAAAAGGATGTCTGTGCCCAGTCAATTTATCAACCAAGTGTTGAGGGTAAACTAAGGGCATTTTAAGACACGCATGGGCTCAGAAAAGTTTTCTCCCATGTTCTCTTTCTTTGGAAATTTCTTGAAAATGTGTTGATGCAAAATGAAGGAGAGAACCAAGAAAGAGAAAGAACTGGGATCCAGGAAATAGAAGAGTCAACCTAAGAGAGCAATGAGGGAAGGCT